GCTATAGTATTTTCGGCCAACATATATAAAACTCATAAAAATTTAAACTTTCATCACTATACAATTACCATTTACATATATATGTTTAAAACATTACAAAACTCAATCATATGATTTTACAAAATCGATTAGAACATATCGAATTCAAACCTTTATTTACATGCCAACCACAATCAGTGTTACAAAATACAAACTATTCATTTCTTTTATGATATGATATTTGGAAATGAGAAACTAACCTGTCTTGCATAACTTTTATCAATCTTCCTCTTCTCGGAACCTACAGGTGAAACAATCACACGCTAAGTCGTTGACTTAGTGAGGCATATAAAACATATAATAGAAATCATAGAACGTTTCACAAAGAAACACATATAACATCATATAATTCCTGTGAAACATTTCATATCACCAAAAGCATATGCATAACATATATTGTATTTGTTATTATCTCTTTATTAGCTCATGTACACATGTCAGTCATTGTAAAAATAATAATAGTATATCATTTAATAATGCAAATACTTTTGATATCTTTTATAGGCCCATGTACATTATTGAGAACTCAAGATATGTGAGTACACTGAGGTTGTGCACACATATGCTGTCACCACAGCTCGTATAAATGTCCCGAATGATCTATCCATATGTTCCTAAGAACATAGGTAACTGTCCATATGTCCCGAAAGACATAGGTAATTCTGTTCGTATGTTCCGAAAAACATAGGTAATATTGTTCATATGTCCCGAAATACATAGGTAATATTGTCCATATGTCCCAAAAGACATAGATAATACTGTCTATATGTCCCGAAAGACACAAGTAATCATGTCCATATGTCCCGAAAGACATAGGCAATACTGTCCATATGTCCCGAAAGACATAGGTAACCCTCGACTCTTGGCATGTCAACTATACCTATAGCTCTCATATCATATAACATGGGCATTCTCTTTCATATCATTTCACATATTTGCATGTACATTTAACTTTTCATATGATTTCATAATCATTTATCACTTAGCTTATAACACTTCTCTTGTGTTCATATGACATGTATATCATTGCCATCTCTTATTCACATATGTTTCCTATACATCACATAACACATTTATATCACATATTCTTATAAGCTCATGGTTTTTATCACATATCATGTAATACTCTTATCGAATCTCATATTTCATTATCATATTTCTCATATCACATGGCTCTTAGTCATATTTTCATATATTCATATAATCACCTAGTTCATTTCACTTAGCCTCTTATGTTCATCACATATAACATATAAACTCCTAGTTTCTTATCCAATATATCATATAATATGATGGTAAAGTCTCATAATCACATAACATCTAACAAGTTTAGGTCATAATCCACTTAGACTTAATTCATATAATTTATACATTGTCATCATATAACTATTTATATATCCATATCACACCAAATAACATATAACCTATATGAATCTATCCATGTGTTCATGCACAAATAATAGTCATGTTAACCACATATACTAACATTATCATGTTATGCATATACACTCACCTATATCTCATTGTCTTTCCCTCGATTAATCCTACTTGTCATTTGTTCCGAAACTCGTTTAGGTTCTGTATCTACATAAATATAATTTTCAAGACAATTATCAGAAGCCTAAACCTTATACTTCTATGCTATTAACTTAAACGAATTTAATGAATCAATCTTCAATTTTTCCTTTAAGGGTATCGATACACTCCTTAAGGTATCGGTACCCTTATTGAATTCTGTGATTTTTCGTTCAAGAGGGTATCGGTGCACATACATATGATACCGATACACTCTGCCCAAAATAGGTTTTTTCACCCGAAATTCATCATTCTCAGCTTAAATTCTTCATTTTTCATTCTCTTTTCTATTCTTAATTCAAGTACACATACTTAAATTCATTTATATCTATTTATCTCATCTTTAATCTTAATATTATCTCATCTTTATGAACTTCAAGAATCATACCTAATTTTTAACATGTTTTAAATCTAATTCTAATACTCCATATTCCTTAATCAGGTTGATGACAAGTCAAATCCAACTTTCAATTCTTATTATAAACTCTATTTCAAGATTTCACTCAAGAACTCCAAATCTTTAATCTTCCCTAACCCCTTTATCTTTTGATTTTATGATAACTTAAGCTTTCCTTAAGCTTAGTTATCATCTAATGATCAAAACCCAAACTTTAAATCAACAAATAATCAGACAACTCACCTTTGATTGGCTTGAGCTTGAGCATACGGGGGAAGAAGAAAGAAAGAAGAAGAAGAGTGTTTCCAAATAACCTCTCCTCCCCATATGATTCATTCTTATCAAAGGGGAAAAATATTTTTCTTGTCAAATGACCATTTGTCCTTTAATTATTTTAATAATTACTAATAACCCTTCATGAATTATTTTCAAATAAGTCATCGAACTATTCAATTATTCTACTTTAATCACCAAATTCCAAAGTCATACAATTTAGTCACTAACTCGGTATTGATAATGTTACAAAGCACAAGATTTTTTTAATTGTCTCATAATAATTTCGTTAAGGGTTATCGAAAGTTAACAATAGAAGGATAAAAATTGGACAGTTCAATAACGTTAAGAACTAAAATCAGACGAATCAATAACGTTAACGATCATTTCTCCTTAATTTTTAAATTATTAACTAAAGTCGGTTAGACAAAAAAATATAAGCGACTATTCGCATAGTTTACCCTCAAAGAAATGAGGTGATTTGCGTTCGCTGCTGCGGTGGGTGCTGTTCTCGAGACGTTCGTGGAGATCAGAGAATGACGTCAGTAAGATGGGGACACCGATGCGCCGTATAAGATTATCGTGACAGACAGGACGCGAGGGGATATGGTGGGTCCCGTTTGGAACCCCAATTTATGGCGGACCCGAACAGATCGGGGAGGGAGGGATTATTGAAATGAAATGACAGGAGGAGGGGTGTAGGCCCATTTTTCATTTTCTGATTCTTAAATTAACCCAAGTGGGTCCAACGGCTTCGATTAGGTCCACGTCATGTAGACATCGACTGGGGCAGAGGGAAAAAGGCGTATGCAAATTGCAAATTAGTAGAGGAGAAAGAAGAAGATGAAGGGATAGAGAGTAATAGCTAGTGGACAACTGCACTACATGATCAGCTGCTCAAACTATAACCGATTTCATACGATATAATCATACAACATACTAAAATATTTTGAATAGAGTGATGAAAACTGACAATTATTATACTAATTTGAAAGATAAAAGTCTAAATTTTTTTTATTTTTAAAATGTTTATAATGGACATATTTAATTGCGAAGGGAGTATTATTTTTGAATGATATAAAAAATTAATATTTTCTAAATAGTCTAATTATAACTTAAATCCTTAAATAATTCATAATTTTTAAAATAACTTATTTCACATTAATTGGATCAATACTAAACCAAATGCAAGTCCAACTTATAAGTCAAATAAATCTTAACACTCCCTTAATCAAATAATTGATTGTCGAAATAACACTCTAGTGTCGACCTTAGTTTTTTTTTAAAGAGTGGGTGATAAAGTAAACAATTTGATTGAGCTATAATTGTCACAATGTCTACAAGACCATACAATGAAAAGAATATAAAAAAATGTAAATGTCACACACTTAACATTTGAGAGGTAGATTGAAGTTCAAATTTTTTTGTGTGGAACTATAATGAATTTTAAATTTAATAATTACAAAAATCTCATTCAATGAATCAATAATTCAATTTCTCCTCATCTTTATATTTATTAATTTATTATTTTAGTTTTATTTAAATTAATTAGATGTTAACCCATATGATCATCTAATTTATTTAAATGAAATTATTAAAATATAATATATCAGTACCAATTAAAAATGATATAAAAATTCACATCAATATTAACTTTTGTTATAGAAGACGTTAATTTTATTAAAAAAGGAAATATTCAAAATTATAATAAATGTTTATACCTATAATCGTAAATTAAACACTTAATTAAGTTATTTTCCTATAACAGTTGACACAAAAATTAGCAACTCAAAATCACACAATTAAAAAAAACCCAATAAATGATTGATATGAACTGATTTGACTGCACTAGTAAACGAATCACAAAAGCGGATCAAACTACTGAAAGACCACCGTTAAATCACAAATCAAATTCGAGCGACGTGAGAAAACTATTCAAAAACACAAACTATGTATCTAAATCTAACCTGATGGTCCAAAGCAGGAAAAATCAACATGATAACAAATAAACATCATCTTGATCAGTCATAACGATATTAAATCCAATTCTAAAAATAAAAATTAAAAACAAAACACAACCAAAAGTCCAAAAACGTACTAAAAGACAAAAACACACAGACAAATAAATCTTACCATAAAAATATATTTATTATGAACTAAAATATAAAAAAAATAAAGATACGATATAAAATAATAAACAAGAAAAAATAAAAATTATCGACCATAAAAGGACTAACACTAAAACTAGTACCATTATCATGGATGACTGACAACAAAGATTAAAATATATAAGCAGGGCACATAAAAAGAGTAGAGAAAACAAAAATATTCATACAATATCACAGTTAAGTATTCAGTAATATGTAATCAAAATATAAAAAAACAACGTTATTTATTATTCAAATACTTTACCATATTATTAGATCGATTAGAGAAAATATTATATATAGTTGAGTATAATATAATAATTTTACATATTGTAAAACTAATTATACGGCATAAGTTGTATCGACATCTGAAAATAAGATTTTTGAGATAAGTTAAGTATAAGCTAGCTATATTCCACTCTCTTAATTCTGATTTGTTGTTCAGTAAAATTAAAGTGGGCCCACTTGTCCTTATTCTTGCTTCTTAGCAGCTATGATATAAAGACCCACTTCTTCACTTGGAGGGATTTTATTCACCTCTCGTTCTGTTTCTGCTGTTGTAGGTATCGTTCTTTAAAGCTACACTTACACAAATTGCTTTCTTTCTATCTCTTTCTCTCCTTAGCTTAAGCAAAATCCAAGTTTGTAGAGCTTCTGATTCAGTTACTAACGGGCCTACAATTTTGTACATACTCTCTTTCTTCTTCCTCTTCTTTTGTACTTTAAAAGTGGGAAAAAAACCCCACTCTTTTACTGATATTTTGTTTATTGTGTGGAATGTTAGTGCAGTTCACAAGATTTTCCGTCTAAGTTTGGCCGGAGAATGGCGTATATGTGTGCGGATAGTGGAAACCTAATGGCAATCGCTCAGCAAGTTATAAAGCAACAGAAACAGCAAGAACAGCAACAAGAGCAACACCATAATCAGCAACAACAGCTTCTTGGTCTCAGTCCCGTTGGCTTAAACCCTTGGAGTCACCACGGCGTTTCTAACTCACTCAGTCTCGTGAACGGGCTTTCGAGTCCGGGTTTTGCTGACCTGTTCCAGGGAGAGACTGGAGATGCGTTTCAGTTCCCTAACATGGGTCATCATAATTCGAGTGGGTTTCGGTTCCCGGATTTTGGTGGTGGCTCGGGTGGTGAGTTTGACACCGACGAGTGGATGGATTGCTTAATGAACAGTGGGGATTCAACTGATAGTTCGAATCTGCCGTCTGGTTGTGATGGCTGGCCAAACAATGCAGATTTTGGTCTTTACGGTGCCGATCCATTTGGTGCTTCCCCGAATCGTCTCACCGTTGCGTGTCCTACGCCGTCTGATCTGAATCGAGTGATTTTCTCAGCTGAGGCAGAGAAAAATCTTAGCTCTACTCTTCAATCTCAGCCTCAGCTACCTACGTGGTCCCCATCTCCTCTACCTCCAGCTCCTCAAGTTACCGTTAAAGAAGCCAAAGCAAGCAGCCTCCCGAGCCAGACCCCACTCAGAAACGACGCCGCAGGGGTTTCGGTTGATTCCCCCGAGATCGAGTCAGCTCCCCCGCTTTTTAAAGCTTTACTCGACTGTGCTAGACTCGCTGTCTCGGAACGTGAACGCGCGATCAAATTACTGGAGGGACTCAAGGAATCGGTGTCAGAATGTGGAGATCCAACTGAAAGAGTGGTTTTGTACTTTACCGAAGCTCTCTATAGCAGAGTCTCTGTTCGAGCAGATAAAAGATTGAATCTGCCCGAAACGACGTCGGAGAACTTCACTCTATCTTACAAAGTATTGAACGACGCGTGCCCTTACTCGAAATTTTCTCATTTAACGGCAAATCAAGCTATTCTCGAAGCAACGGAGCTGGCAAGCAAGATTCACATAGTGGATTTTGGAATTGTTCAAGGAGTTCAATGGGCTGCTCTTTTGCAAGCCTTAGCCACCAGGTCAGCTGGAAAACCGACCCGGATTCGTATTTCCGGTATACCTGCCCCGATTTTGGGATCGTCTCCAGCTCCTTCTCTTTATGCTACTGGCAACCGTCTACGTGACTTTGCGAAGCTTCTAGATTTGAATTTCGAATTCGAACCGATTCTAACCCCGATTAATGAACTCAACGAGTCTTGTTTCCGGGTTGACGAGGATGAGGTACTGGCTGTAAATTTCATGCTTCAATTGTATAATTTGTTAGATGCTACTCCGGTCACTGCTGAAAGATCTCTCCGTTTGGTTAAATCTTTGAACCCCAAAATCGTGACATTGGGTGAGTACGAAGCGAGTTTAAATCGAGTTGGGTTCCTGAACCGGTTCAAGAATGCTCTGCGATACTACTCGGCCGTGTTCGAATCATTGGAACCGAACTTGCCTCGCGAATCACCCGAGAGAATACAAGTTGAGAGACTGTTACTGGGTCGGAAAATAGCGGGGATTATAGGACCGGACGAAGCCGAAAACCAACGGGAGCGGATGGAAGATAAAGAGCAATGGAAGTGTTTAATGGAAAGTGCTGGTTTTGAAGCGGTAACCCTTAGCCACTACGCGATAAGTCAAGCGAAAATTCTGCTGTGGAATTATAATTACAGCTCCTCGTATTCACTAATTGAATCCCAACCTGGGTTTCTGTCATTAGCTTGGAAAGAGGTGCCTCTACTCACAGTTTCTTCCTGGCGATGATGATGATGATGATTTCAGCGGATCCTTTGGAATTTTTCCACCTGGTAATTTTTCTCTAGTGTGGGATGGAACAGCTCAGTCTATGGTGAAAAGTCAAGTGCAAAACGCCAAATATGAGAAGCTTCTTCCATGGTTTTATTATATCATTTTGATTTCCATCTTATTTTCTTCGTCCTTAGGCCTGGTTTCTATCTCTCTCTTTTAACAGCTTTTGGTATATTCTCTTCATTTAACAGTTTGGAGCTTTCAGCATGACAAAAATTGTAATATAAATTCGCGGGATTATACATTTCCCTTGGTGTTATGGACGTTCGATTCTTATAATGTAAGATTATTACGAGAAATGTAAAATTTACGCAGTTTGGTATGATAAAATAAGTTATTTTGCATCATTGTGATCGGTATCTAAAACATTTTTTTCAATTAATCTTATTAATTTTTACCTATTATTAAATGACATTTTGGTAGGATTCTACGTTTGGATGTCAAATTATTACTCATTTCTTTCATCTCCATAAATTACGTGCCGAAAGTTTCTTTTACATGTCATTTTCTTTCTCAAACGACCACTGTAATCAACCGCATTCTGTTTGTCTCATTAAGTCTTGTTCCGGTGCTAGTTGACACCTGAATCCAAAACCTAAGAACCCCTAACCCTCCTCCTATCTTCTTTCGTTTTTAACCAGTTGTCTTTTATGTTATGGTCGGTTGGAGTTTTCTTTTGCTTGGCATGGACCATACTTGTTGAGAAAGATTAAAAAAAAGGTTTATTAATCAAATGATTAAGCATTTATAATTAATTTTTATTTTAAATCTTAATTAGAACGAATATGCAGTTAGGAGTGGCTGTTTCCCTCCCAATTTTAGTTTGTTTAGGTCTTACTTTCATTTTATTGTTAATTACATTTTACTCTTCTTGAACTTAATTTTTAACATTCTTTATTTTCATCCTTTGTACCAAACAAAACTTTTAATAGTTACGTTATTCCGTGAGAAATATCCAGGTAGTGGTAGGCTTGATTATAAGCATATAAACGAACCGAACGCACACGAACGAACGGAGGTATATTCATGTTCGTTCATTTAATAAATAAACGAACACGAACATAAACGAACAATTTTTTTTTGTTCAGGTTCGTTCATTAAGGAATATAGTTTGTTCATGTTCGTTCATTTAAATAATAGACGAACACGAACGAACGAACATAAATGAACAACGCAAACACAAAAAAAAAACTTATTCGAACACAACAAACGAATGTAAAAAAAGTAAACAACAAGAATAACAACTTAAAATTCATTAATATAACCTGCAACTTTAGAGTTAATTTGTTCGAATACGACAAAAATATACTTAAATCAGAAATAAGCTATATGAACATAATAAAGTCTTAAAGTTAATTTGTTCAATAAAACAATCTTCTTGAAATCCAAACAACTTCAATAATCTTCGTAACATACTCAACTTGCCCTCTGTTCGAACATAAATGATCATAAATGAACGAACATATAATCGAACGTTCACGAACGTAAATGAACGAACGAGCCCTTTAATAAATAAACGAACTTCTCGCCGCACGGTTCATGAACGGTTCACTGAACGCTCAGTTCATTTACTGGCATAGGCTTGAACCACAATTAGTCTCTCTTTAGAATAACAATGTATACTCGAGGATGGCATACCCATAAAAGTGAATGTAAAAGAGTATAACTAATAAATGATACATGAAATGATATTTTAACTTAATTCCTCAAAGATTCCAAAGTTCTAAACTTAATCACTCGATCCAAAGTTTCATTAACTTTTAAATAATGAAGTTTGTTTAAAAATGTATCATATGATAACTTTAAATATTAACTATCGTAACACAAAATTCAATAAGAGATTTAAAGTGCTCGTTCTTTTGCTCATAATCATATTAAGGTATCATGGAGTCTAATAAGAAACATGTAATTTGGAGTAGACATGCGAGATATTGACACTTGCTGGTAAACTGACTGAAAACGATGAACAAAACGGGTTAAAAACGTCACCGTCTTTTAGACGCCGTAGTTGGGTGTTTGATTGAGGCTAAATCTATGTGTTCTAACTATGATTTTTCTGTTTTTGGCATTTGATGAGGACCAACGTTGTACTATGATTTGACATAGAAGGTATATAATACTTCCATAGAAATATTTTAAGTGAAGGAACGAGGGAGGTGGTTGCTTATTGAAAATTTTAAATTTTTATATATAGTAGACTTTTTTTTATATTTTTTATTAATAAATCTGTTTTGGCCCCTAAAATAATATAGGTTCGTCCTTTAACATAAAATTGGCCTTGCATGATTACCTTTTCACTCTCTTCTCCAAAATCAAGGTTTCAACCTTTCAGACTGCTCCCATCTTACAATTATGCATAGTTTTCCTTTGTTGTCTTACTTGGACGGAAAAGGACTTTGTATTTGCATGTGGGGTGGTTGTTGCCTAATCTTACTTTTGTTTCAGTCTATTACACCAGTTGGTTACAGATTTAATGGCTGTCATTTTCATCCTGATGAAAACAAAACCCTTAAATCACTTGTTACATATCATGCTGAATTGAGTTAAACATGAGATCTTATCCTGTGATTGCGGGGTTTGCCTAAAGGTTATAGGTCTAATTTCCTACCCAACACTGGAAAATCCAGAGGAGAGTAGCTTAAACATGATATTTTATCCATTGACATAATTGAGATCAACAAATGGCAATGAAAACAGTCTGTTTCTCATCCAATGATAGGGGCCAAAGTTGGGGGTCACTTTTAGCCGTAAGATAGTTGAAAAATGAACCCCCCATTACCCTATTAGGTCCTCTTCAACTATATTTACCAAATGCCTATTATCCCATCACAGCTGTAAAGGTGCAAAATACGGTGGACATTAGGGATGGCAATGGGTCGGGTCGGGTCGGGTTTTTGGGCCACCCGATCCGACCCGAGAAGAAAGGGTTTTTCACCCGTGACCCGACCCGACCCGACGAAATTAAGGTTTCACCCGACCCGACCCGACCCGAATATATGACTTAGAAACCCGACCCGACCCGACCCGACCCGAAATAATAATAATAAAAATTTTATTCAATGAAAACAGTGACTTAATTGAAAAAAATTTTATATGGAGGGACATTATTGTAATTATCCCTAAATATATAGGATAAAATTATATATATTTTTCGGGTCGAGTCGGGTCGGATTTTTTTCACCCTAAACCCGACCCAACCCGAACAATACATTTAAAAAAACCCGACCCGAACCCGAACCCGAATTTTTTTTAAAAAAATCCGACCCGATCGGGTCGGGTCGGGTCGGAACCCGTCGGATTCGGGTTGAGTTGCCATCCCTATGGACATATGTACAAATAATATGTATAGGAAGAACTTGTGACAGTCACCAGCAATTTCAGCATCCTCTATGCAGCGTTGTGCCACAAATGCTCACCGATCAGCTTCAGGACTCTCACAAGTTGTTCCACGTAAAACCCAAAGAGCGTGGACCAGAAAATAGTCGTAGGAAGAAATATCATTGCCCTTCTGGAAAATGATATGGATTATGAAGCTGATGACCAAATTCTGAATTTCTATATGGAGAAATTATAAATGAGGTGAAGAAAAGAAATGGAACAAATCAGAATATCACTAATGGATTGGGTTTGCTTATTAGATACTATTTAGTAACAAGAATTGGGCTTTTCAGAATGTCCATCACATGGGTTCGATTTTGTTCAATGTAAGATCCATTGGGTTGTGGTGTTTAGTTATAAAAATGGTTGTTCCTTGTTCCCATATGTAATGAGATAAGGAGGAGGTAAGATAGTAGGCTGCCCCCAACACCAGGTTAAGACCAGCTTCCATAGAAGACCTCCGAATTATAAAATACCCTCCGTGAGACTCGATCCCACGACCTCAAGGTTATAACTACTACTAAATAATTAATATATTTTTAAAGTTGCAATCGAAATCAATATTGTAATATATAAATGAATTCATTAATAATCAGAACATATCATATATATCAAAATAATTCTGGATAAAGTATAATGTGACTTAAGCCATAATAAATTTAGTAAGAAAATCTACATACGATATTTACGTATTTTCGAATTATACATTTGTATAAATAATTATTATATCATGACAATATTTTCCCCTCTTGATCGAATATTTGTTTTTCGTAGATATAATATGGCATAATAAATAAATTAGTACATAAAATTTACATTTTATTTTTACTATGTATCATTTTCTTTATCAAATTCGTATTTGAACTTGGAAATATTCTTAAACTAATATACACGTTTAAATAATTTTTATTTTTTGTCCTTCGGGTTCTTAAGGTATCGCCTTGATTAATGCGGACCGACTCAGGTCGCACACCATATTATGATGGGTGAGTCTTTCAGCGGAGATTTTTTACATACAAAGACTCGAACTAAAGACATGTTTAAGCGATATCAAACAACTTACCATTTGAATCAATCCATTGATCACGTTTAAAATAACATTTTATCAACTTTCATGGTCAACTATATCTTTAATTTTTGGATTTATATTTGATGTAAATTAATATAAAACTTTGAATTATATCAGATTCAGATCAAAATAATTATTATAGGTTAGATTTAAATTGAACGAATTTTTTTTTACAATCCACTATATTATAATCTCTGATATATTTGAGAAAAATTTTCAGTAGTATCAATTTATATCTTATGATAAACGAGACTGGTTCAAGTGATAATCAAATTGATATTGTTTAAGCATGTTTTAAGTTCGAGTCATTGTGTATGCAAAAAATTCTCGCTGAGAGACTCACCCACCACAACTACGTGTGCGACCCGAGTCGGTCCGAATTAGTCAAGACGAAGCCTTGAGAATCGAGAGGACAACAATTTTTTTTTTATATCTTATGCATTATAATTTGATGAAATGAGTTAAAAGAGTTGATTTTTTTCAATTAGTAGAAGAATGATGATATTACGTCGTTGGACATTTCTCGTTGGTTGGTGATTAAAACTAACTCGTTGCTTATCGAATAATAAATATAGCGTAATGCATTAACCATGTTATATAATCCATCAGTAATATCATACCATGACTAAGAAAAATTAACGACCATATATGAAATTACATAGTTGGTCTCACATTGCCAGTCATTTGATGTGATTTTTCATCCAATGCACATCCGTTTTTTTTCTGTTAATTATATGCATCCTGTCCAGATTAATCATTCATCTAAAAAATATATTACATGAATTCAAACTGTCGCAACATACGATCACTCGTATAATTACATAATAAATAAGAAGCACAACCACGTTTCATACACGTTCAAATTCAAAATTATCAACACACTGATCAGATTTAATATCTCAACCTTCATAAAACTAAATTTTCAAAATTAAATTTTTTAAATGAGATAACTAGTCAAATATATATTTTATATAAATCAATTAACTTTTTTAGTTACAAAATCAATTAACTTTTTAATATTTATTGATTGAGACGTTAAGAATAAAAATACATCTTATTAAATGCATATTCCAAAAGAAATATTACATTATATATTTAAATGAGTTTAAAAATATTTTAAAATGTTAATTAATAATATATTAACTGTAAATAATATTTTAATCAATTAAAAAGTGAAATTGTACTTATATATTGAAATTAATAGATACGGTCAAGTTGCTTGTGATAAGATTAAGAAAAAAACAATCCAGATCCAACCCAACTTGCGTGCTAACAACGCTGTTTCGTAAAATGATCTGTATCCAACTCATGTTTCACACGGCCGTGGTGCCCAATTATTCGCCGTTTTTACCTATTTCCTCTGCCCCTTCCAATCCGCAACATACATTTCTAAATATATTAAAAAAGATGCCGCCTTATTTACACGTGGACGCATCTAAACCATTCAGCGTCCCAGACTTCCTTATATCTCGCCCGTCCATCCGTCCGAAATACCCTATATAATTAAGGCTTTGTCAAGAGTGAGCCGCTCATTCCAACTAATTTATCTCATCTTTTTCCTCCTTGCCGTATGGTTTTTGCAGATTCGATTTTCACATCGATGTCTTTACTTCCTGGGGTTCTGTCTTCAGATCCGCTCGCATCGGCCCAACGGCTCTTTGTATCTGCTCTTTTACTATGAAAGGAGTGACTTGTTGGATCTATGCCTTTAAAAGCCTTTGCCGGCAGGGAAGCGAAGATTAAATTGAAGGGCTCCAGCGCTTCTGGCGGCCTTTGCACGGTCTTTATGTTTTATTCTTGTAATTTGTAGGGATGGTCTCATCAGCGTCTGAGTTTTGGTGTTGCATACTGTTTTCAGATGTACGGCGGTGATTAACAAGGCATCCGATGTTTTGCGACGGCGTTGTGGGATTGACTGGTTTGCTTTTGAAAGGATGTGTAAGATGTCGGGGAAAAAGGTCCTACTGATGATATTTCTTTGTTAGGGGACTGAGTCATGATCTATCTTTGTCGTCCAAGACCTTTGCCATGGCAGGTGCGCTTGCATGGCAGGTCACCTGACCTTAATAAAATTTATCTGTTTGGGTGTTTTTAAGGGGAGATCGCACGGGAGTTGCCCGGGTTCTCCCCTCTGCTGCGGTGTCGTCTCGCGTCTCCTGCTCTTTATTCTTTTTCTCTATCTCTTGCTCGCCATCCATTTTTTTGCATCATACGGGATGGACGCTTGATCCAATACCATTATCAACGTCGGAATAAGCTCATGAACTCCCAATTCACACCATTATCTCATCTCACGGACAAGGTATTATTTTACATATTTTAACCCCACTCCGCCTTATCAAATAATACTTCAAAATTTAATTTTATTCTCCTATTAGATTACATCAACTTTGACATGAAACGGAACAAATAGTTTTTAGCACATTTAGAATGGTAAAAGGGTACATGGTAATTAATATTCAAGAACATGGTTTTTAAATATTCATCACCCTTCCTGGGGGAAAAGAAGTAGTTAAATTTTTAACTTCAATCTTTGTTTTTAGAGTTACGCGGCACTAAATTATTGTTTTTTTAATAATTTTTATTCGTAGAGAATTTTAATTTTATATCAGCTCTACTTTTAGATTATTTGATTTTGGTAATGATTTTCCCAATCCTAGCATGTATAATTCAGTAGTAAACTAAATTGAAATATTTTTTATTTTAATATATTTTCTGTTATTAAACCTTCTTAACATGAAAATCCAATTTAAAGCAGTGGTACAGTATTTATTGAAATAATTGTATGAAAGACTGTTAAACCCGTGGAAGGTAAGTGTATATATTGATCTTTAACTCTAAAATCAATTATTCTATTTTATAAAGTTCAAAATCGTTGCATAAGTTCAAGGAGGATACATTGGTTATGCTCTCCGTTTTCATCTATGAGAAGTTACTCTCAACTTATTGAAGCATTTAAGGTTCGAGCTACCAATTTCGCAGTTTATTTGATTTTCATTTTTTTGTCTGAATTCTCTTGAATTCCATTCTCTTTCTTTTCATTTGTTATTTACCTCCACTTTTATTATCAAAGTCCATTGCCGAGTATATCAGAAATGTTTTGCTAGTGCATAATGGCACTGTATACTACCTTAGTAGTTTGGAATGTTGGATGCAGCATATGTATTTTGCTTGTATATAGCTCTTTGTACTTGTTTAGGCCCTTGTACGGATTTCTGTTTGCTTCGGATTGAAAGTTGCATGTGTCTTCACTGCCTATACAAGATACCGATGGAAAGATGTCACAGCAGCAGGTGTAATGATGTTGGGAGGTATCTGTATTTACACTATTCCATCATGTTACTTGATAATCTTTTATATAGAAATTGGAAATCTAGACATGTGGGATCATGAAGTGTTTGTCGGTATGAACTTGGTCACTGCAGTGAGCATAAGGAAGTTGGGGAGGTATTTCTGTATATTCACAATTCCATCATGTTACATGTCTAATCTTCTATGTAGAAACTGGAAATCGAGGCACGTGGGATGAAGTGTTTGTCGGTATAAGCTTTGTCACGGCTGTAAGGAGGTTGGTAGATATTTCTGTATATCATGTTACATATCGTTTAATTTTTTTATAGAAACCGGAAATCGAGGCATGTGGGATGAAGTGTTTGTCTGTATAAACTTGGTAACGGCAGTGAACTTAAGGATGTTGGAGGTATTTCTGGATTTGTACTTTTCCATCATGTTCCATATCGTTTAATTTTTGATAGAAACTGGAAATCAAGCCGATGTTGGATGAAGGGTACCTCTGCAAAACTTGGTCGTGGCAGTGAGTGTAATAATGCTGGGAGGTATTTTTGGCTTTACAATATTCAGTTACACCGCGTCTATATGATAATCAAGGTATGTGGGATAAAGTGTCCTTCCATTAATTGCGGTGAAGTGTGTGTGTGTATATCTTGGTCGACATTCAGGGTTTGTGTTGGAAGTCATTTGAAGCACTATGGAGACTTGGATATCGATCTGTGTAGGCTTTCAATGCCTAGTCGCAGGTAAATTCTACCGAGGCTTTTTCAAACAGATGCAATTGTTGAAGCTTTGAAGTCATTATGCAGTGATGTAGTGAATAGTTTTTGAGGAGCTTTTGTTGTGGAAGATTGATCAAATACTCAAAGAGGTACATGTAGACCGTGTAATCCAGTTCTTTACATAGTGAAGATTGTTTCAGTGGACTTCGGTCCCGTGGTTTTTCCCCTTATTAAGGGGTTTTCCACGTTAATTATGGTGTTCCTTTTTTTTATAATGTTGCTCGATTATGTTGGTGATTAAAGCATTTCAAAGCTGCCGAAATTCGTTGTTTGTTGTTAAGATACATGAAAATAGAAGGTATAATTTTGTGCCACTTTAAATTCTCAGTTAGTTACCCTCTTATCTGTTTTAGATAAAATTTGGTGCAGGAATTGAATCTCTTAACGGTTGGAAGATTTTATACTTCAAATTTCAAAATTTTCTAATGAGAGCTTATCTTATTGAAGATTTTTTATAATGAAGTTTTTAATATATAGTTTGAATTTTCATTTGCAGCGTTGATTTGTACTCATTAAATTAGCCGACTAACTTTTAATCGAAACTGAATTTTATAAATTGAAAAACCTAAACAAGTAACAAAAGTAGAATGTGTTCACACGTTTCTTTAAAGACAGAAAGTAAGGTTGGTGGAATTAAGGGAGTAAATGATGAGTATAACAAAATATTTGGACCAAGGTAAAAAATTTCTCGTGGGATATTATCAAATTGAATTCAAGTGTGGTCTAATGCTCTTATACTTTGTGGTAAAGGTAAAAGAACTAAAATATAACATTGTCCTAAAGTCATGTGCGTTTATTGCTTGTTTGTGTCCAGGAAGATCTGTAAGCTCAAAATGGCAGAGCGCTCAATCCCAACTTAGGTTTGAGAGGTTGTTGGTTCGAATCCAACCAGATCTGCTCTTTCTCTCCCTAGCATGTTTTCGGGGTATTTTGTTAAGTATTAATTCTTATTGCTGAGAAAATTGGGGGTCTTGTAAAACTCTGTTCAAGTCTTAGACATCACGTATTACTCGATATAGCTTGAAAAAAAAAGAAGAAGCTTAGATCCTCTAATGGTATAAATATATTTTCAGACATAAAATGGGATTTTTACTTGTATGATGTAATCTAATTCAATTTTAATCTAAAAAATGTAATGTCATGTATATACATTGAATATTATAAAAAAAGGGAAAGTAGTCCCAAGGAAAGGGATGGAATTTTAACAGTAATAATAGAGAGATTTATACCATAATATTTTAGAGAAAATCGCCTCAGTGACCAAAAAAAAGTTATAATATACGATTTTAACCAACTTTTTTTGGATTTGCCAAAATGACCAACAAAATCGCAACGCGAAATAAAAATCGCAACGCGAAATAAAATCGCAACGCGATCCCCAGAATCGCAAATCAGTTTCCAAAATCGCAACGCGATTCTTGAAAATCGCAATGCGATAGTACAAATTCGCATTGCGATTTTCCAAAATCGCAACGCGAATATGAAAATCGCAACGCGAACACATAAATCGCAACGCGTATCCGTAAATCACAACGTGTATCCGTATATCGCAACGCGTATCCGTAAATCGCAACGATAATACATAAAATCGCAACGCGTATCCGTAAATCGCAACGCGATATTTAAAGCGCCATTATAATCGCTACGCGTATTTTATTTTCAAATTACAAAAACCAATATTAAGACAAAATCCCGTAATCGCAACTCATAACCTAAAACCTAAAATCACAACTCAGTCCCATCTCTATCTCTCACTCTCTACGGCGAAGAAATCCGTCCCCATCTCCGAAGATTTTCGGCCCCATCTCCGGCGAAATCCCTCACAACCATTCACGGTCAGAAATCCCTCACAATATTCAGAAATGGAAAATCAACCTCCGAGGGTTAGTTTTTTTAATTATTTTATTTTGAAATGTTTGCATATTGTAGGTTTTTCATATTGAAACTGATGATAAGTTTACTGGTCATTTCAATAATAGATTAACCATTTCACTTAGATTTCATTTCGCGTTACGATTCTGTCGTTGCGATTTTCATTTCGCGTTGCTATTCTCTCGTTGCGATTTTCAAGTTAGTATTTGTCTTTGTCTTTGTTCTGTCTTTTGGTTGAAGTAATGCAATCCATTCAAGTTTCAATTTGCAGAAGAGTCGCAACGAGATAAATGAAAATCGCAACGAGAGAATGACTGTCGCAACGCGAAATGACAATCGCAACGAGAGAATCGCAACGCGAAATGAAAATCGCAACGAGAGAATCGCAACGCGAAACCAAAATCGCATTGCGATTTTCATTTCGCGTTGCGATTCTCTCGTTGCGATTGTCATTTCGCGTTGCGACAGTCATTCTCTCGTTGCGATTTTCATTTCAACCAAAAGACAAAACAGTGTTGCAAATTTTAGTTTCAAGAATAAACTACTACTTTTTATGTTTATTGTTTTGGTATATCTTCACAGTGTAGTTTTTGGTATATCTAACTTGGTATGTTTATTGTTTTTGTAGAAATTTTTTTCGGCTCAATTGACCTTGAGAAATAAAGTCAGCCTGGCCACTACAATTGCTTCGAAGCTTTCACCTGCTCAAAGAGAATTGTTTGAGGAAACCTGCTTCGGGCCATGGCTGAGAGTACAGCATCCGGGTGGAGATGCTAATTTGACCCATTTGTGGCTTCAGACCATGACATCAAATCTACCCGACAGTATACAACGTGGTGAGGAAGAGATATGGTTTCATTTTCCACCAGCGTATACTTGTTTTGGGCGGAAGGAGTTCTGCTTAATCACTGGTCTACGATTCGGACACGATGATGTAGGCCGGTACACTCGTCATATCGCCCGCCCATCATGGTTATCCCGGGTTTTTCCGGATGAGTCAATGGAGAAGCCGAACCTACATGTCGACGACCTGAAGAAATTGTTTAATAAGAAAGCTGGTTTCACTCGGATGGATGACGTCGATGTTGTCCGAGTATGCCTTCTACTACTTGTGTATGCCGGCTTTTTAGGCAGAGAGGCCAGACAACCTATTCATCGGGAGCTAATAATATTGGTAGAGGACCTGAATGCATGGAATCTGTTTCCGTGGGGTTCATATATATGGAAAGCTACCTGGACTAAGTTGTCGTCTGCCTTTGATGACCGCAAAAGTTTGCGGGGCGATGGGTCCAAATACACTTTGTCAGGCTTTGTTTGGGCCTTTAAGGTAAGAATTTCTATATAATGTTTCTAAAATTATAATTAATTATTTAACAATTACTAATTTTGTTATTATATTGTTTATAGATTTGGATATTCGAGGCTTTCCCCAGCATGCGTACATATGCAATAAAAACGTCAAATGATATTCCCAGGGCTATTTCCTGGAAGAGGAAAACTCTGTTGGATTGGGAAGACTTAATACCATATGCGACAATAAATAATGTAAGTTAACACAAATACTTTCATATAATATAAACAAGTTATTAATAGTAGACGTTTAACTTTGTTTGAGTTTTTATATTTTAGGAGGCCAACATTCCATTACAAAGACTGACACCCACGGAGGAAGAGCTTGCCACTGATTGGTGGCAAGCTAGTCAGAGTTTTTTGATGGCACGGATGATGAGCAGCATCCACTTCCTCCAATTCGAGAGCCATCACCTCACCTAGAGCCATCACCGATCGACCCGACTATACACTTCTAGAACGAGAGCCATCACCTATCCCGTCACATCATCGAGCCTCTTCTCCACCATCACCTCATGATAGGTGACCGGCAAAGATGCCACGACTCCTATCTCCCTGTTCTCCACCTCCACCTCAACGGGATGAGTCAAGGGAGTTACGTGATGAGGTCAATGCCTTGCGTGAGGAGATCGGTACTCTACGCGATAACGATGGTGCATGGCGTGTGGAGGTGTCAACTTTACGTGGTGAGGTTGCCGCTCTACGTGAGATGATAGTATCGTTGCAGAATGAGGTTCATACTCTACGCAATGAGGTAAGTTTAAGATTTTCCATATTTAACTTAATGATAAATTTACTCGTAATTTCACTTAGATTAGCCATTTCACTTAGATTGCTTAGTAAATTTATTCGGTTGCTGCCAATTCTGCTAAACTGTGTATTCTTTAACACTGTGAAATAGTATTTGTCTTTGTTTTGTCTTTTGGTTGAAAGTAAATTTGTTCGGTTGCTGCCAATTCTGCTAAACTGTGTATTCTTTAACACTGTGAAATAGTATTTGTCTTTGTTTTGTCTTTTGGTTGAAAGTAAATTTGTTCGGTTGCTGCCAATTCTGCTAAACTGTGTATTCTTTAACACTGTGAAATAGTATTTGTCTTTGTTTTGTCTTTGGTTGAAAGTAAATTTGTTCGGTTGTTGCCAATTCTGCTAAACTGTGTATTCTTTAACACTGTGAAATAGTATTTGTCTTTGTTTTGTCTTTTGGTTGAAAGTAAATTTGTTCGGTTGCTGCCAATTCTGCTAAACTGTGTATTCTTAACACTGTGAAATAGTATTTGTCTTTGTTTTGTCTTTTGGTTGAAAGTAAATTTGTTCGGTTGCTGCCAATTCTGCTAAACTGTGTATTCTTTAACACTGTGAAATAGTATTTGTCTTTGTTTTGTCTTTTGGTTGAAGTAATGCAATCCATTCAAGTTTCAATTTGCAGAAGAAGAAATAGTTTACTTTCGCAACACGAAACATAAAATCGCAACGCGAAACCAAAATCGCAACGCGAAATGAAATCGCAACGACAGAATCGCAACGCGAAACCAAAATCGCAACGACAAGATCGCAACGCGAAACCAAAATCGCATTGCGATTTTCATTTCGCGTTGCGATTTTGGTTTCGCGTTGCGATTTTAAGTTTCGTGTTGCGAAAGTAACTATTTCTTCTTCTGCAAATTGAAACTTGAATGGATTGCATTACTTCAACCAATAGACAAAACAAAGACAAATACTAACTCAGGGTATTAGTTTGAAACATATTTTTCTTTGTTATCTGATGCATTTTGTGAACTATGATAGAATAATGACTTGGGTGAATACAATGCAAGTTTGAAACATATTTGTCTTTGTTTTCACTGTTTAAATAACATGTCTGTTTATTTACTGATTTTTGTATTTAATTATTTAGCGGCCCGATAGAGTGGATGGTTTACGTCGGGTTATGCTTGCACGACGGAGTTCACGCATCAGACAGCGTGCACGTGCTATTAAGTCTCCGTACACCCCAATAGTGCGAAGACACCG